GATGAGCCCAGTGCATTGGACCGATGGATAAGAGAACTGAGCTGGCCTCCCCCGGCGCAGGCCTACCACGCTTCGCGCCTGCGGCGTTTTCGCCATAGAAAACAAGCCTGGAAAACTCAATTCCCAAGTGTTTCTTCTTCGTTGGCAAAGACGACGGTGATGTGTGTCCGTAACGTGCCGGAGCACATGCCTGGAGAGTATGGCAGATATCCGATGCGATATTAGATCGCTGGCGTGATTCCGTTTCCTTCATTGCTAACTGCGATGAGAATGGAGGGGGGCCGGAGCAACGCCCTACGGTGACGACGGTGACGTGCCGGAGCACATGCCCGGTGAGTACCCGGCTGCTTTCCTCTCCGATGATAGAAGACGTGCCGGAGCAACGTCCTGAGGCAACATCCAGCAGTGGCCTTCCGAGAAAATTAATTCTCAAGTGCTTTCTGTCCAATGTCTCTCACGTGTCTTTTGTTGTTCTTTCCCAATCACAGTGGAGGGTGGCATGAGTCCAAACAGTGGTGAAAAACATTCTGAAAAATTAATTTTCACAAAGTTCCGGTCCAATGTTCGTGCAAATGGCGAGATCCCAAGCAGTTCCTAGTCCAATGTTTTGCAATTACGGTGCGAGAAGACCCAAGCAATGGTGGAAAACAACTCGGGAAATCAATTCCCAAGAAGCTCCGCTCCAAGGCTGGTGACGGCGGAGAGCTCAAGAAGAAGCATAGCAGATGTCCGATGCGATACTAGATCGCCGGCGCGATTCCGTGTCCTTCATCGCCAAGTGCAATGAGAATGGAGAGGCACTGTCCGGTAGCAAGAGCAGATCCAAACAGTGGTGAAAACAGCCGGGAAATCAATTCCGGGAAGGTTTCGGTCCACTGTTGGTGAAGATGGCGAGCCAAGCAAAGGTAGAAACAAGCCCGAAAAAATTAATTTTCAGGTGTTTCTTGCCCAATGCCTCCGTTCTTGATTTCTTTGTCCTCCCTCTTGTGGTGAAAGCTGTATAAAAATCAAGAAGATAGTATACTGCACAAAAAAAATTAAAATTACTTTATGAAAGAGATTGCAGCTTGGATGAAGATTAATCGCAAACAGCTCTGAATTCCTTGGTTTGGAGAATTGTAATTGTTGCATCAATCCTTAGCAAATTCATATTATGCGGCTAATTATGTGGTGGAGTAGGAGATGCAGTTACTTGGGATTGGCATGGAACGTCGGCTTCATTGAAAAAATTCACACATGCTGACTCCTCAAATTTCATATTTTAAGAAGTTGATTTTGGCCAAAATTAATATTAGAAGATTGGTCAAAAATGAGATGGGCTGTTGATTGCGAACGTACTTGGCAATGGTGAAATGGACCGTTAATGAAATGGTGGCTTCTGTTTGGCTAGCTTGTTTTAAAATCTTTGAGATGAATTATGCTAAATTTTCCTAAACAATTTTAAGGGATGCTATTCAATTTGGATGCTAAGAAATTGTTATGTGCGCAGTCAAGGTTTAAATGATGAGATTGTGAACGCACTCTGAGCTGCCATATGCAAATGTGTACACTTGGACTACTCCGGTTAATTTCGAGACTACCTTCCCTCTGCATTTAAGGCACGTCAAGCAAGTCTCGAAGGGGCAATTTGTAAGCATTGAAAATTTAATTAATATTATCGGACCGTGGTGGATATTTAATTACTAAATTAATTACTTTAATTAGGCTAATTGAACTAATATTTATTTAATTGGGTTTATTAAATGGCCCATTGAATAATTAATTAGTTTAATTACTTAATTAAATGTAATTGGATATTGGATTGTTCGGCCCGAAATGGTGAAATATTTAATCGAGTTGGACCAGGCTGCTTGGATGAATGGGGTTGCCTAATTAGCGGGCTTGACTTGGTCTTGGCCCACTAAAATTATATGTGGATTATATAATTTTGAGGAATTTGAATATTTGATATTATTTGGAAATTTAATGAAATCATGAACCTGGACACAATGGTGTCCCGGTACATTCCTTAATTTAATTAAAGAAATTAAATTAAATAAGGAATTAAGAGTTGGTTGGAGATTTTCCCTCACACTCACCACTATAAATAGTGGTTTCATTTTAAAGAATTAGAGCTATGGAAATCTGCATATCGAAGCTCTGCCGAAATCTCTCCAGGATATCGTCTGGAACACGCCCGCAGTTGTACTGCGTATACCGCGCTGAGGAACACGCCACTTGAACACCGGAAGCCCTTAGATCAAGCTGCATATTAGCCCTTCATTGAAGAACAAGCTACATAACTCCGGAGGCCCTTCAGCAAGGAACTACTTCCAGTTCGGCATACTCCCGAACTCGGCATACTTCCAGTTCGGCATACTCCCGAACTCGGCATACTTCCAGTTCGGCATACTCCCGAACTTGGCATACTTCCAGTTCAATATACTTTGAACTGGGCACACTTCCAATTCAGCATATTCCAGATTCGGCATACTTCCAACAAAGAACTACTTCAAGTTCAGCATACTCTGAACTCGGCACACTTCCAATTTGGCATATTCCAAATTCGGCACACTTCCAATAGGCATACTGCTAGTAGAGAATCAGAGGACTTCTCATATACAGAGATTGTACCCCTTCCTGTTTGATATATACTTGATACTTCATTGTAACCGATACTTTGAATTTTGAATATATACAATTCAAGTTTTTCGCGTTTACAGTCTCCTTAGCAGCGCACACCTGGGTCTTTGCCGTCAAAGTCACTCATCGCCATCACTGTCGCTCGTCGCCATCACCATTTCTGCTGCGCTACAGGTTAGTTCTATAGTTCTATATTTTGATTACTCTAATCTTAAACCCTAATCCCTAAATTCCTAATTCCATTATCCCTAAATCATAATTTAAGCCCTAAATTCGTAAGATAAAGTCAGTGAATAGTGAATATCTGGCTCTTCATCACTAGATTCAATAGGATCAGTTGAGACATCCATATCATCACACTATATATGAAGTGAAATGACTTTTGGTTGTGCACTTAAATGCTTAGATATGTAATGTATTGGAACTTGCATATTAAGGTTTGGAGGTTTCGTTTTAGATCAAATAAGATGATTACAAGTTTGTTAGGGCTCATAATTGTTTTGCATTTATTTGATGTTGATTGTGGTTCACAATTGCTTTAATAAAAGCTTAAAGTGTAACCTAGTTAATCACTTAATCCTTAATCAAGCTTCTTGCTTTATCAGCTTGCCCTCCATAGTCCATACAGATAGTTGAGAATTAAATGTTATTCATTTTAAACTAAACAAGTCTTAAATGATGTTTTCATTATAATGATGGTGAAGAGGAGAAGAGATTCACTTGTCATTATCTTGTTAGATGGTTGCTGCCTGTGTAGTGTTTTATTGTTGTATTCCTTTTTATATTGTTGATTCTTTTTATAGTGGTTTGCTTTGATTTCTAGTGTCTTGTAAGGCTTTCTTTCTCGGGCCACTATGGAATTCTAGAATGCTTGTTGAAGTACCAATGAAAGGCAAGCTTTTCTAATTTGACATCTGGTCAACGAGCTCTGGTTGCGAGTGCCGAGTAGCAGCATTTGGTCGACGAGCGACGAGTAGCATCGTCTAGTCATTTTAATCTGTTTGGCTATGAGCAAGAATCAGGTATGTTTTTTTCCAGCGTTTTAAGAAGAAGCAAGACAATTCATGAAAGGTTGGTTATTCTTTTATTCAATCTCTTCGTTCTCTAATTAGTTTAACAAAATAGGTGTTCACAACTTTTGAATTTGTAGATTACTCAAATGGGCATGCATCGACAGTTAGTTAGCTCTGCTATTGTTTCAAATTTGAAAACTGATGTCAGAAAAGGAGCATGGGACAAAGTAGAGGTACGTACAATTTGCTTCTAAACGATTTTTTAAAAAATATCTGAATTTATCCTTATACTTTGTAAATTACTTTTGGGGTTCCTTTCTTTGACTAAACTATTAATCTTTTGAAACATGAGAAAACATGGTAAGGTTCTGAAGTTTTCTCATCCCCAAGTATAGCCAGATGTTGGGGTATTTTGATTTTTCATTGATTAGCAGATGCTAAGGTATTTATGTTGTTGGTTTAATAGCTGTAAATTAATAATGAATGAACTGTATGTTGTTTGCTTGAATATTCTGATCTGCAACACCTACAAAAGTAGAAGTAGAATTTTTTCCACTTTACAGTTTATAATGGTTATACACCAATCTTTGTGGTCTCATTATGCTTTTTTTTTTTTCAGGAAACTGTGTCTCACTTGAAGCAAAAACAATTAGAAATGGCTGAAATAGCAGTGTGGTTGGAGGCCACTGTGGCGTGAGGAAAGGGAAGTAATGCAATAGCAGCACAAGGATATGGAAGAGCAATATCGTAGTATTTGTGAGACCGTCCAGAAAATGGAAGCATCATTTGCGCACTTTAGTGCACATCTTAGTATGCAGATGTGCCTTCAACAGCAGGGTATTTTCGTTACTACGCTGGTGCAGCAGACAAAATCCATGGCACCACTCTCAAGATGTCGAGTGAGCTCCAAGCATACACATTGTGTGAACCAATAGGTGTGGTAGGACTCATAATTCCCTGGAATTATCCGGCACAAATATTTGGGTTTAAGGTTGCCGCCGCATTAGCAGCTAGTTGTACTGTGATTGTGAAGCCTGCTGAACAGACAACCCTTTCTGCTCTCTATTATGCTCATAGTCTTTGATGATGTATCTAAAACCCGTATCACTAGAGTTGGGAGGCAAGTCTCCTTTCATAGTTTTTGATGATGTAGATGTTGACAAGGTTTCGGATCTTGGTTTAGCTGGAGTCACATATAATAAGGTAATCTCCATCCCAAGTTTCCTTTCCTCAACTCTTAGCATGTAGATATACTGATTGATATTGGGGTTTTAATTTGGCATTTTGGCAGGGTGAAATATTTGCGGCTGCCTCACGAGTGTTTGTCCAGGAAGGAATTTATGACAAGTTTGTTAAGAAAGTAGTAGCAAAGGTGGTTGGTGACCCTTTTGATCCAAATGTTCGACAGGGACCCCAAGTATGATCTAGTTTGCTTGAAACAAGCCATATACACCATTAAGTTTACCAATACCAATATGCTTTAACATACATGTCTATTTGATGCATTTAGGCTAGTAAAAACCAGTATGAGAAGATACTTTCATATATAGAGCATGGGAAGAGGGAGGGTGCTACATTGCTAACTGGTGGTAAGCCACTGGACAGAAAAGGCTATTTCATCCAGCCAACTATATTTACAGATGTCTGGTAAAAACCATCTACACTATAATTCAATCAAAAAAAGATGGATGCAGTTAAAATCTTCAATATGTAGAGAATCCAAAACATTCTATATATGCTTTTGTTGCCTCATGCAGGATGACATGCTAATTGCAAAAGATGAAATTTTTGGACCTGTTATGCTTATACTGAAATTCAAGTAAGCTCAATCAAGCTCATACTATTAAGTATTAACAATTCCAGATGGGGCAACCCACACCATTTTGGGAGTCACTTATTAGTCTTTTTTATTTGAATTTGTCAATTTAGACAATCCAGACTAGTCTAGTTTAACTCCCCGTTGTTTAGAGTTAGTAGGCAAGATTTATCTCTTCCACAATCTAGGTTGTGGCTACAGATTTCATTGTAACCTAAAAAATGTGTTACATTTTTACTAAGATGATGCAGGACAGTGGAGGCGGTGATAAAGAGGGCTAATGACACAAAGTATGCCAATAACAACAATATATATTATATATATGTGTGTAGTTGGATGTATGGTATGCCATATGGTAATCCTATTACCCAAGGGAAATTTTGTGTATAATTACCACATGCCAATTGCCCAATTGTTGATATTTGGATGTACAGTAATTTAAACTTGTCATTTGTCCCTTCTCAGGAAATGATCGAAATGGCGAGGGAGATTGATTCGGGTAAGTGTTTGTGTACTTAGCCATTTGTATTGTAATAGTTGGTTCACTTCATACTGAAGTCAATGTGCTAAACATGCATTTTAATTTCAAATGAACTTGTAAGTAAATTCAAATAGACATCAAATGCAATACAAAAGAATAACTGTCATGTTTCTTTTAAGTTCCATTCCTCTTCTTTTGTACAAATGAACATGTGGTGTAATCACATTGAATATGAAGTTCATTTGTAATGAACGCCTTTGCTGATATTATCCACCATATCATATGTGTGTGCAATGGAATTTAAAGGGCACTGTGTAATCAAGTGTTTACAGTTTAGCCTAGGCAAATGGTCTAACTTACACATCAAGGTTTTTTGATTTTTGAATATTCATATATGGAATAGAAGCAGCAGAAAAGGGGATTGAGGCTGCGGAGAATGGATAAATCATATGCTTGGATCTCTCTAATTAACTATGGAGTAATTTGTTTGGTCTTGTTTGTTTTCCATGTATGAGCTGACAATTAATGATGCCTTGAATATATTGATCTATTTTTTTGTTTGACTACATTGTTTTGCTCTATTCAGAGGTTCCCTTTTCCAAGATTGTATACATTGAACATACTGATTTTAGACTGAATGACTAAAGATTATTATGGCCTTGCTCCTGGGAAATTTGTGCTTCTTAGGTGCCAATGTTTAAGTTAAAGTAGTTTAATTTTTCAGTACACTTAAATGCATCTGCATCTGTAGAACCACAAGTAAGTTGTAGGATACAAGGGGAAGGGAATCTTGAATTCTAAGTTGTAACTTTTTTTAGTCCTATGGCACTATGTCTCAAAGAAAGCACTTTTGCAGGTTCTCTTGGAGTTCAAGGAATATGCTACTAAAGTAGACGTTGATTTTGTCAGGAGGGCTGTTCGTGCTATTGGACGATGTGCCATCAAGTTAGAGAGGGCTGCCGAGCGTTGTATCAGCGTCTTGCTTGAATTGATCAAGATTAAAGTAAATTATGTTGTCCAAGAAGCTATTATAGTTATCAAAGACATCTTCAGGAGATATCCTAACACGTATGTTTAAATTCCTACTTGCTATATTATATCATAATGAGTTAATTATTAAGGCTAGATTTTATCTTCAGCTACGAGTCTATCATTGCTACACTGTGTGAACAGGTTTATTTCATATAAGTCTAGAATTTAATATTGACTAATGTTTATTTCCCTAAATTGTTAATTGTATTGTAGAATTTATTGAAATTTGAATTTCAATTGTAACAGGTCAAATTCATTTGATATTTGTAGAATTTTAAATTTTATTTTTTTTGGTTAGTAAATCTTACCGACCACCGTAGTGGTCGGTAATACAAATTTTAATTTTTTCTTGGTAAATCTTACCGACCACCGATGGATGATAATTCTGACCAATTACCGACCACCAATGGTAGGAAATATGCTCTCCTTATCCGACAACTATTAGTTCCGAAGACTTCAAAAAAAAGCCGGTATTTCTGACCACCTTGACTAGTTGTCGGTAATAGCTAGGGCTTTTTTTCCGAATCCATAAAGTGGTCGCTAAGTTGGTCGGAAACCGCATTTTCGACCGGAAATGCCCCTTTTCCGACCACTTTTTGGTGGTCGGAAAAATGCAGATTTCCAACAGTGATATATTGTATTAATGTATAACACATGCATATACTTACAAGAGAAAGTTTACTATTCTAGTCCAATGAGTTAAATTACAGTTGACAATGAATGTTCGTTACCATAGTTTATAGTTTTTATAACCATATCCGTCGTCGCATAGACAATTATATACTTTTAGTTCACATTTTAATTGTTAATGTTATTGGTTGCTCTAAATTTGCCAGCATGAGTTGGTTTTCAATAGATCTTATAATAGTAAGATGAACGAGTAAAGTTTACTATCTGTTAGAAGATGTGAATTTTCGACAAACCCAACTAAAAAACTTTAATTTGATAAAGAAAGTGGTCGGTAGAGCTTAAGGTTTGAAAGAAAACAGGTTCCAAAAGATGTATTCATTAAAGCTAAGGTCTACCAGAGGTGCTATATATATATACTAGTATTTGCACCCGTGCGATGCACGGAATGAATTTGTTGTAATATATTAAGAATATATGAATCGATATATAATTATTTAAATTAGAACATCAAATATTATATAGTGCATACGGTTTGGATCGTTTATATATTTTGATGTTATTAAAGCTTGATTTTGTACAAATAATTGCTCAAATTAATAGCTAATGTCTAGATGTACGCATGCGGTGCTATAACTTTGAAGATTTTATTTATCATTGGTTAGTATTTGCATAAATTAGACAAATGCGCCCGTTCTCTAACAACTCCGTTATAGAAATGAATTGTTATCCTTATTCATTTATATGGAAGATATGTATTTTGTCTAGATATATAGCAATTTTTTCATTTAATTAAAAAAAAAAACTTAATCTCACCGATTATATTTACATATTATTAAAACCTCTTTGTAGATGGCATTGGTAGTGCCAACACAATCTTGTTTATCTTCGTCTAGAGCTACCACCTTGAATCCATCAGGACAGTTTACTTGGGTGAAAATATATAATGGTAGAATATCACTCAATTAGTTATCCTTTTATATTTTCAGTCAATTAGTAATATCAGATTCATTTTCAGTCAATTAGTCAATTATTATAATATCAAATGCAGTGATATTTTTACCTAATTTTCGTTCCAGTTTTAATTGATGATGTATATATTATTATTGAAATATTTCAATTCAATTTTTAATTTACCTTTACTGTTGTTTAAAATATGCATTTACTATTGATAATGTAGAATATTATTATAGAAATATTTTCCTCCAATTTTTAATTAACATGCAATGATCTGACCATTTATTTTGTATTTTAGTCAATTGTGGATCATTTTTTATTTGCATTCAATTATTAATATTCATTTCCTTTTATATTTTGAGTTAATTAGTATTATTAAATTCATTTTCAGTCAGTTATTCTTTTTTTTTTCTTTTCAAGTCAATTAGTCAATTAAAATATAGATGCAGTGATATTTTTACCTAATTTTCGTTCCATTTTAATTTGATGATGAAGAATATTATTATTGAAATATTTTCGTTTCATTTTTAATTTAGCATACTATTTTTTAAAATATGTATTTACTATTTGATGATGTAAAATATTATTATCGAAATATTTCATTTCCATTTTAAATTTTCCTTTACTTCTCAAAAAAAAAAAAAAAAAAAAAAAAAAAAAAAAAAAAAAAAAAAAACTTTGTACTTCTCAATACTTGCCCACATTGATGGGCAAGTAATTATGATCCCAAATCATTTACAAAGGGAGCCCTTGGCTCCCCTTTGTCTTCTTCTTCTTCCTTTTTTTATTTTTTATTTTTTTATTATTAATTTTCATTTTATTTTGTATATAGTTTTGTTTGGATTATTAATAATAATAATAATAATATTATTAATTAATTAATAATAATATTATTATTACTAGTATTTGTCCCGTGCGATGCATGGAAAATATGTTATAAAAATATACCCTATATGAGGTTTATTCATATATAAAATTTTTGTTATTTAATAATTATTATGTGTGAATTTCTATGATAAAATTATGAACATAAATATATTTACAATTAAAATAATATTTAAGGTGGGTGATTACTACAAATCTTAAACTATATTAATAATTTAGTACATAGTATTTAATATTATAGATTTTTAAGAACTTAGTAAACTACAATAGTAATTGAATTACAATTTTAGAGTCACCACATATCAAAATTTTTAGACCTTTGAGATTTCTAACTCTAGATGTAGCAACATACAATTGACCTTTAAAGACCAAAATCACAATCTTAGTTCGAGCATTGATTTTTTTCTTCCAAATACTATCGAATTAAGTGTGTAATCAATAAAAGATGAAAACTAATAATTCGAGAATATAATCTTAATGTTACTAAGCCTACTTCACGTCAATTAAGTTGGAGAGTGTTGTTGGATAGTATCCTATGAATCCACGAATAACGCATCTTTGTCTCCGTAGTCCTCAATACGCACATCAACAATCTTAAATATTAGGCCGCCTAGCTATGCCATATATTAATTTCAAACTTATGAACTTTGGGATTGCATGCAATAAAAAGTATATTTTAAATATACTAATGGTACATTATATATGTCTGTAAAGTACTTTCAATATAAAAATAATGTATTTTTAATATATTAAAAATGCATTTGATATTCATGATCCATACAATTATGTGGACCATCGTTCACACAATAATTTGCCAGTAGAAATTGAAATATAAATAAATAAATAAATAAATAAATAATATATATATATATATATATATATATATATATATTAGAAACTGTCAGTGGAAATTATTATCATATGATAGGATAGGCCATATGTGTCATATGTGTCGAAAATATGTTTGTATCCAAATTTCCCGACAGAGTGCTGTTTATGCTAATCTTGAATCTTAATGAATTGGGACTGGGGAAACCTAGCTTATTATCTGCATAAATTGTATAATCCCTTCTGCCTCTATCCCACCCAATATATGTCACTGAGAGACCAAATGACAACAAAAAACTTGCAAAGCAGATAAAGTGTAACATCAAATTTTTTTCAACCTACCTAACTTTCTTCCTATACATACTCTACCTATAAATATTTGTGAGGTGACCATTATTCTTGTATTTCTAAGCCATACAAATTATTAAAAGCAATCCATTCTTTTAGGATATAAACAATCCTATAAATACCCTATAACACAATGCCAATGGCCATTGCATCTCTGCAGATAGAGACACATTTTTCCATTTCCTCTTACTTTTCCTTTTTATTGCAGCAAATCACAATAAAAAGGAAATGGAGTTTTCTTTTCTGCAGCTCACCATCTCCATAATTGCCTTAGCCGCCATTGCCCAAACATCTT